TAATATTAAGCAAAAGTAACAATTCCAATGAAGACATTCGTGGAGAGAAAAAAATAGGAGTTTTAAGAAGTGAAGTCGGATATTAAGACACAAAAATTCCTCCTAACATTTCTGAAATTAAAAAAAAAAATTGTTGCCAGGCGCAGTGATGCACGCCAGTCAACCCAGTGACTCAGGAGGCTGAGGCAGGAGGATTGGAAGCTCAAAATCAGCCTCAGCAACTAATTGAGGCCCTAAGTAACTCCGAGAGACCCTGTCTCTAAATAAAATATTAAAAAGGGTTGGGGATGTGACTCAGTGCACAGTGGTTAAGCACCCCCTGGGTTCAATCCCAGTAAAAGAAAGAAAGAAAGGAAGGAAGCAAGCAAGCAAGGAAGGAAGGAAGGGAGGAATTGTTGTGTATGAAATTATTTTATAGTAATTTATGTCAGTATCAATTCTCATTTTGAAAAAAAAATTGACAAATGTACTTTCACTGGCTGATGTTTTATACAGCACAGGTGGATTTGCAGATCATAAACTATCTAATGAGTCATTTTTTTTATTTCTTCAACTGCACCCATTAGAGGTGGGCAGTGAAACGGAAAGTAACGTGGATTCTGAATTTGCACGGACTCAGTTTGAGGATCTGGTTCCATCGCCAACCTCTGAAAAGGCTTTTCTAGCTCAAATCCACGCCCGAAAACCTGGGTACATTCACGGAGGCCCCACCACAAGCACCATGCGTAGCGACATGTGAGTATCCTTTGCGGGGATATATTTTTCTTAGTAGCAAACCAATCTGTAGGGAGCCTTAAGAAAGTAAAAACATGATTGTTTAGTTCTTCACTTTGGAAAGGAATGAGGCCGTTTCCTTTTCTACCAGAAGAGACAGAAGGGTACTACATTTAAATCTGGCATTGAGATTGTTTCCCCTTACAATTGGAGGGATTATCAATAAACTGAGCCAATCAGTGCTTGTTGAGAACTTGGCTTGCCCAAGGCTCTGGGCACAGATGCTCCTCCATGAAGTCACATCCCAATAAAACCCTCATAAGTTGAAAATATTGTGAGTTGAAAATACATTTAAAACAACTAGCCTACCAAATATCCTAGCTTAGCTACGGAGCACACTGTAGAAAATATCAATCATTGACTTTCCTCATCTGAATGACTGACGGGGAGCCGTAGCTCACCACCACTGCCCAACATCACAGAACAATATCTCACTGCATATGGCTACCCTGGGAAAAGATCCAGATTCAAAATTGGAAGTATGGCTTCTACTGAGTGCTTATCACTTTTGCACCATGGTCAAGTTGTCCGTCAAACACGATATAATTCAGGAATAGTCTATCATATTAAAAAAAATACTGTAGCTACTTTTCCAGGACTCAGGCTAGTTCAGAAGATTAATCATCCTGCCTTCAGAATTTATTGTATCTGGACTTAGAGGACCTAGTGATGCTGGAGAAGTTTCTCTGTTCACAATGAATATAAATTGGATTAAAATAAATAAAGGCATAATGTCTCATTATAAAGAAATCCACTTTACTGAACATGTTGACTGTGTACAGATCTGACCCTCGGAAGACTTGTTTTGCAAAGGTTTTCACCTTTCTGGATCAGCTCAAAGTAGGCAGCAGAGGAAATGAAGCTGAGAAAGTAAAATAACTCCAGACAGTTGCAAAGTTCAGCTTGGGAAGAGAAAAGAATAAAATAAAGGAAGGGAATTTGGAAGTGAGGTGTTAGGAGCACAGTCTCCTGGAGTTATGAGAAATGTGAGGAATGGCACTAAAAAAAAAAAAATAACAGAAGGGTGACGCTTAATGTGAAGAGTGAAAAATATTCCAGACCAGTCTACAAAAATAAATTGGGCTGGGCACAGTGGCACACGCCTGTAATCCCAGTGGCTCAGGAGGCTCAGGCAGGAGGATCGCCAGTTCAAAGCTGGCCTCAGCAATGGCAAGGTACTATGCAACTCAGTGAGACCCTGTCTCAATAGGGCTGGGGATGTGGCTCAGTGATCGAGTGCCCTGGAGTTCAATCCCTAGTACCATCCCCTTCCCCATCAAAATAAATCAGCTGTGTTAAAGACCCAAAGAAAAACTAACCAGAGGCTCTTCTGATGTTTTGCCTCTCAATCCAAGTAGTGAACAAAAGACCAGCAAGAATGGAGAGCTATAAAGAGACCTGGTGAAAGCCGGCTGTGAAGGAGCAGAGCATGAGATCAGAGTAGAAGAACAGTTAGGATATGATTGAAAGTGGCAGGCTGCAGCCACTTCTAATTTTAGTTTGCTTTCATGTTCTTTCCTCTATAATTTAGAATAGTTTGTTTCTTTTTCAAACTGGGGGGTTAATTGTCATCTGTTTTGTCAAGTAAATACATATCTACTTGATTTTTTTTTGTTAAGCATGTTCATGGTAGCTATCTAAAATGTCCCTTGCCCCAATTCTAAAAGCCAAGACCATTAGTGCCACTCCAATCTACTATCCCTGGTATGCTGGGGAGCAGGACCAGCTACCAACCAGGGATTTGGAATCCTGGAAGGGTAAGTTCACATGCACTTCACAGAGCCTTTTAGGCTGGCCCCAAACCTCCAAAAATAACAAGAACATGTCATATAGATATAAATAAATGTGAAAAATGGCATTTAATCTCCAGACTAGAAATGTCTCCTTGACCACTCTTTTCACTTTAGAGGATATTTTACACACTGAGAATATTCTAGTCACATGACTTAGTAGTGAACTTATGTTCAGCCCCATGAAGTGTTTTTACATATCCTGGGATGAATAGAGGGAGATAATGTCTCATCTCAATGAGTGAAGTCATTCTTTTCTATTTATTTGATAGTGGAATTAGACAATTTAAATGAATCTTCAGGTTTGGAACTAGTGTAAATTTTTAAGATCAAAAGCATGTGCCCTAAATTGACTCTCATGAGTATGCACACACATGTGTCAGTGTGTGTGTGTGTGTGTGTCTCTGGGTGTATGTGTGTAACACAGAGGGTTAAATTATGAATAAATGTCTTTAAGAATTATTTCACTAGAGGGCTCACTCTCCTTATAGAAACCGCTCTTGGATTCTATGTGAAAAGCCCCCATCATGGGAAAACTTAATAACCCTTCAAAAAACAAGTTTGTCCTTTTTCTGTAGAGTATAGGACATGTAAAGGGCCAAACTATTCCTGTAAACCCTGCAAACACACTGATCACCAATGATCACCAGATTGCAGTGGAAAAAGTGTGTATGAAAATGCCTTGACTGTGTATTCCTCCAAACCTCCAATTTTTTTTTAAGTTTCCCTTCAGGGAAAAGAGACATAGAAGTGGCTCAAGGGACAGATAGCTAATGCCACAAATTCCACTCATACTTGTCTTTAAGATGTGCTCCAAAATGTCAACTGTGGTTTATTCACAGAGTTACAGAAGATGGGGATCCCTACGTGCGGCCTGAGGACGAGAACTACGAGAATGACTCTGTCCGGCAGCTGGAGAATGAGCTGAAGATGGAGGAGTACCTGAAACAGAAGCTGCAGGACGAAGCCTACCAGGTATGGGGACCCCTGGCCCCACTCCCCCCACCTCCTCAGCCCACGGTAAGGGATCTTTCCCAATCCTCACAAAATGGTTGCTTCCTCCTTCCTTCCGCCCTCTTGTTCCAGAATATTCTCACATTACTTCTTAGTCCATGTATTCCAGACAGTAAAAATTTTAAAAACTTCTCATAGCTAGCCGTTACTCACTGTGCATTCTCATGAATTCGGGTCTGGAAAGTGAAAAGAAGCCTTGTGACATTAGCAGAAACACGGTGACTTAACAATCTAAACTCCTCCAGGATCATTAAAGTGCTTTTTCTTCCCCCGCCCCCCACCCCCATAAATTAAAAGAAGAGGAGGAATACAAAGAACAGTGCACGCATAAATATACCTCCTCCCTTGACTTGTTTGTCCTCAGCCTCCCTGACTGCCCACTTCATGGCAAATGTAAGTGGGAAGGTGACAAAACTTAGTGAGGAACGTTGGGGGAACTGCAGGCCCAAGTTCAATGAGGTGTGAATAGACACATCTTCAGATAGAAAGTATCTTAGCCCATCTGAGAATTCATAGAACATAGCACAGGCAATTGGGAATAACTGTAATTAGTCACTCCTGCTAAAAGGGACGTTGTCCTGTCTTGTTTGTCTTTCTGTGAGCATCCTTTCTCTTTACCTGCAGGTGTGTTGTTGAATTCTGGGAGCTCAGGGATGCTTGTCTGGTGGAGACCTGCTGGTCCCCAACCCCAGTGGGTTACTGTTTTCCTGTCAGATTTCTTTCCAATGGCCACACAACCTTTCTCCATATTCTTAGATCAGCAGTGGCCCTTTTGTACTCCATTAGTGAAGGACAGAGAAATAGAGGGAATAAATTGTCTCTCACTTCTCGTATATTTATAGATTAAGCCTTGAAATATTTTCCCAAGAAGAGTGTAGCAAAAGAGAAATTGGAGGCCTGCCAACTTCACCCCAACAATATAAAAAAAAGGTTTGCCTCTTTGGAAGTTTCCATTCAACTTTTTAGTTAAGCAAGCACATTTTAGAAGCAACCAAAAATGTTGATCTTTCGTGAAAAGATCAAAGTCAAACAAAGGAAAAAAGAAAAGAAAAACAGAGATAGCATCTGTGGCACCATGCTTCTATGCTACAGAAACAGTACTCGTCTGAAAACCATGGAGGGCGCTCTTTCTTTGCAACTTGTATGGTTTTCCACAGAAGGAAATTATCCCAGAATGAAGCTGGCCGGGCGTCTCTGGGAACTCTGAGGGATGGCATCCCTACACGTGCCTCCCGTGACTCTGCACATAGAGGGAAAGAGATGTGACTACATAATCAACATTCTAGTTCATGCTGTTAGGGGGTCCTTATTAGGCCTCCCTCTTTAAATTCCTATCAGTTTCTGGATTTCGGTGACAACAGTAACTGAAATTCTAGAAGTTATTTAAAAAAAAAAAAAGAGGCAGCCTTTCACCATTCTATATCAAATAGTAAATTTTTATTTATTTTAATGAATTAGGAATTTAATCTTAGATGAGTAAAGTGAGGGGAAATTCTATTAATGACGTACAGTCCCATTGGAGTTCTTACCACCTCTGTGTCTGGTGAGTCTTAAGCTCTCTCTCCTTGCCTTTCCATGCCCGATGACTTCAAGGGGAAGGGCAGAGAAGGGGCTGGGAGAACATAACAAGCCCATGTGTCCCCCTCAAGATGAACACACTGGAGAACGCTGGAGTGGTTTTCCTGGAGGGCTCTGTGAGCAGCCGGTTATTGAATGGATTGGAACACTACTTTCTTTCATTGCACTCTCTTTCTGTCTTTGTGCATGGCTTCCAGCCAAATAATTCACCAGCTTGACTGCGTCACCAACTTGACATGTCACCTTTCTTGTTTGTGTCCTTTGTCACCCACAGGTCAGCTTGCAAGGTTGAATGCAATATCCTTTTATCACTCTCCTCTCAAGTAAGTACCTTCTTGTTTGGGAGGAAACATGGCCACTCCACTGAATTCTGAGAGCTTGTAACCTGAATTCACAATCACTCTCTCCAAAGTGTTTCTTTCTGTGTAATAAAATATCCTCCTTCCCTGCTAATGTCGACAGATTCTCTCAAGTCTATGGAGCATTTCATTATAATCCAGTGGAAATCTCCCAGACATCCTTGGGAGTTGACTTTTTCCTCTGTGAATTAGAGAAGTCTACCAGAAACTTCCTTAACACCAGAGATACCCCGGAAGTCCTCTGCAGCCAGGATGCTTAGCTAGCCACTTCACCAATCCATCATGATATCAGAATTGCCCCCTCTGAAGCACCTAGGAAGGAATCAACCTTGTTCAGCATTTATAGATGAATCAGCTCCTTAATCACACTACATTCAGGGCCCAAACGACCAAATGTGTGTACCTTAACAAAAAAGAAAAAATCAAATATTTTTAAAATGGAAAAATCAAGTTGACACAGTGGCACTCACCTTAATCCCAGCAGCATGGGAGGCTGATGCCAGAGGATCACAGTTTCAAGGCCAGTCTCAGCAACTTAGGGAGATCCTGTCTCAAAATAAAATATAAAAAGGACTGGGGAATGTTGCTAAGTGGTTAAGCACCTCTGAGTTCAAGCCCCGGTACCACAAAAAAAAAAAAAAAAAAAGAATCAAAATGGAGAAGGGATTCTATAGTCTTATATTTTGGGGATAACTGATTCAAATCCATGATGTAATTGAGTAGGATATAAATTAATTTAAAATATCATTTATTCCGTATGAGATCCCATCCCAAGGATCTACCTGAATACATGTAAAATCTCTCATAGTTATAATGTAAAGAGCACTTGACTAGCAAGATCACTTAAGGGTGAATTATGAATCTTAGGCTATTGAAGCCATCAGACCCAATTTCAAATATTGATTTACGGGGTTCTGACCACTCCTTGAGAATAAAGTGCCCCCCCAGGACCTTTGACACCTGGGGGTCTGAGGGGTCCTGGCAAAAATATATACATATATATTGGTTTTACCAAATTGTAGCAGAATAAATCTGGACAAATTATTAAAGCTATTTTAGCCTTCAGTTTCCTCTGTACAAACATGTCAGGAGCCTACCTCATAAAAGAATTGTACTTCCTGAGATGTGTTTTTAAAGAGCTTGACACAGTAGCAGACACCGTACAATTTATTAAGAACATGCACATACATGCTTGCCGTGATGCTCCATGCTTTATATATAGTGGTTATGCGAGCACTTGGGAACCGCTGGGACCACGGGGACTAGAGCGAGCTGGCTCTCCCTGTTTTTATAAACAAGATCAGGCCTCAGCTACATACAATGATTTGAGAGATCTTGGGCTACACTGTCCCATAAGTCTAGATGGTTTCTCTGGATCCAGCTGATGGTCATTTAGATGTCCCCCACTAGAGTTCAAAGTTCATGTACTTCCCATATTGATCTTACCACCCATGCCCAAGGACTTGTGTCTGCTTAGTTATACAGTCCTTTCCAATCGTGGAATCCCTTCAGTCTGTATAGTACCGTGGAGAGTAAACTCGACCAACTCTGGTTGCTAGTTTAAAAAGGGATATACTTCTCTTTAAATGGCATCTCAATTAGTAAAGAATATTGTGTTAGTTTGAGCACTGCTGACACCCTGTCTTGATCCTCAGGTTAAGATTAAACAAGTAAAAATCATGGCACAATGTCTATGATATGCATTTCATGAGCAGAGAGGAAAGCGCCTACTGACCACACTCTGCTCTTCCCGTATTGGATTTGAGAATACAGCACCACACACCCTCCACATTCACGATGACTAGAGTGAAAAAATTCCCAGGAGCGGTTTCTGAAAATATTCACTCCAGTTATAACAAACCTAATCCCAAAGGAGCAAGCCTTTTCCTTTAATAGCATTTTCTTTCTCTGAGCTTAATCATTTTTGTTCTATCTATTATTTAAACATTGGTAGATTTTTCTTAGAAAAATATTTCTTTTTAAAAAGCCTACTAAAACAGCCTTAATATAAAACCACATAAAAGTTGGCATTGGGTTCATTGTGTTCCTAAAAGCCAAAAAATTCAGTGTCCTGAAAGTTCTTAAGACCATTTTTTTTTAATCCTTGTTGCAAAATTGGCAGTGAAAAATTAAACATTTGTGACCTCCGCTGTTAATTGTATCAGGTAGTCCTGTCCCCTCTCCCCTGCCCCATCTAGAATTCGACAGGACTCTGAATATGAACCAGCCTGGTATTAAATCAGCCACTTAGGCAAAATTCACTTAATATCTCACAGACTACTACAAAAGCTAGTGGCTTTTCATCTTGTAGCTAGTTCCATCCTACTAAATTTTTTTCTTAATGTAGCTAGGAAATATAGTTGGAATTTTATAAGATTTACATTATTACAATATTTCTGTTTGGACTTTCCGACTGTGCTGCAAGACCAAAAATGATCCCAATATGTTCCTCTTAGTCAGAAGTCCTGAAGCCCACTTCACTGGCTTGATGTCAGCCAGTCATCACCAAGGCAGAACCCTACATGGGTGAGGAGTCAGAAAGTGGGACATCAGAAACATAGAAGACTCATCCTCTATTCAAGTAGGGCTTTAGGCGTATTTGGAAATAAATACACACTTATCAGCATCCTGAGCAAGCGAATGGAGTTCCTGGTGGACTGATTTTCAACTAGCTCCTTTTGAAAAAACAATGTACAAAAATGGTTAGTGCTCAGCTTAGTATCCCCCTTGTCTCCATTTTACTCCATTCAAACTTGGGATTTTTTTTCCATCCTCTGGCCACTTGGTATATCACTTTCCTTGCCTGGTCACATCTTAACTTAGATATGGGAGGATTGGATCATGGAAAGTGGATTGAAAAAAAATCAACATGGAATTCTGATAGTGGGTCAGTAGTGTCCTCTCCTTGTCCAAAGAATAGCACAAATCCTTCCATGGTACCTCAGGTACCTCTCCCAGAAAGAAACTCAACAAAGAGAACTTCCCGTCCTCTCTTCCAGAAGGTGCAACAGCACACCGCGTCTTACAACACCCGTCCCTGATTAGGAAAGAAGTACAGCAAGTGTGCATTCACATGTATGTGTATGTGTGTGCGTGTGTGTATATGTGTGCATGTATGTGTGCATGAGTGTGTGTGTGTATGTATGTGTGGGAAAGGGGGAATTCTAAGTTTCATAACCCTAATTTAGAAACAGTTTTCGTCTTTAAAAAAAAAATTACACATTCCTTATTCCCAGGCAAGCGATAGTCAGACAGATGATAAGATGAGAACTGGTGATGATGGAGAGCACTGCACCCAGACAGAGGAAGACGGCAGCCTGGCAGCAGCCTCACCGGAGAGAGGAGCCACCACACCCAGCAGCTCCTGACAAACCCCCACCCCCTAAAGATGTGTTCTGATGCCTCTAGTGCAGCTAATTTTTTTTTGTTGTTCTCTTAAGATTTGTAGTTAATAGGTGTGTATTTAGAAGGGGGAAAAAAAAAAGACTTCTGTTCAAAGCTAATTTATCCGCTACATCTTCTGTAACATGGCTCATCCCTGGTTAAAAACAAACCAACACAGGCTGAGAACCATGCTGCTGTTACACACGATGGCAGTATTAACAAGCATTTTAAACCTTTGCACATGATATTGAACCTGTTCAGTTTACAATGACAATATTAATACTGTTTATAGCTAGAAGTTTGATTTCTGGATTCTTTGAGATTTTAGCAAAACAGTATATTATACACTGGACCTTTGTTTTTCCATAGCAATTGGAAAAAAAAACAACCACTTGCAATTATTCATAAATCCTGAAGGGTCCCGTTCCTGAGAGTACAAGCTCAGAACGTGGAAGCCAAGACAGATTCTTGGCCTGCAGTTGACCCCAAAAGACTTTGTGAGCAGTGATTTGAACCCATCATTAGAAATAATCCACTCTCGGGGGCTTCTTTCCAACTTTGGGTTGTTTTCTTTCAAGATACTCTAACAAGTCAGCCATAGAATTTAGTGTAAATATTTTTTCCAAATAATCATATTCAAAAAAAAGACAACATTCAAATTATATAGAATCTAGTTTTTAAAATCAGCACAGATCTTCTTAAAAACTGTGAACTATGTTTTGAAATACTCGTTACTAAAGCTGTTTATAAACCACAGGTGCCATAAGATCCCCAAACGGACTAAAGTTATCTATGCTCTTCCATGGTCTTGTTCCTCTCGGTTTAGCTTTAGGAAGCATGTCTTTAACAGCACCGCTCATTCACAAGCTCCCCTATCAGGTCACGGAGGCCTTCAGCTTTAAATGTACAGGCTTAAAAGTGCGCTTGCGAAATGTTCGCTCTCCTTTTATTTCTGAATGTCGATTGCCTTAGCTGGCCACCTGGTGTTCTGCATGCAGCGTTCTGTGGTCACGTGAAAGGAGACAGGCTCTTCTATATTAAGCTGGGATTTTTGCACTCAGTGAAAAAAAATAACTAATGTGCAAAAGAACTGCAAAGACAAGAGGATAAAAGTCTATTGATGGTCCTTAGGAGGGCCCTCTTCAGAAAGAACTAAAGACCGTCCCCTCCCCTCACTTTGGGATTCTGGGGAAAATGGAAAAGCAATCTTCTGTTTGTTTCAAGATTTGATGGGGGATAAAAGCCTGCAGCATATTGGATATATCATACTTAAATGAGCAGCTTCTCTGGAATTCCTGTAGTACCAGTGGTTCTCAAAGGATGTTCCCCAGATCAGCAGCATCAGCATCACCTGAGAATGTCTTAGCAACGCAAATTCTTAGGCCCCAGCCCATGCCTACCGAATCAGAAATGATGGGGATGGGGCCTAGCAATCTGTGTTTTAATCAGCCCTCCAGGCAATTCTGATGCATGCTAAAGGTTGAAAACTACTGCTTTAGAATTCAGTTGTATAGTAAAGTCTCCAGAAAGGTCTTATAAGTAGGAAAGGCTCTGAGTCAACCTCAAAGCTTCAGCGATTCCATTTCTGCTTCCAAGGTTTGCAAAACCTCCCACCCCACGTACCTGGTCTGTAGTTGGTAGGTGTCAGCTGAGAATACTCATTCCAATATTTTTAAGCTCCGCTAGCAGAGGGCCCTCCGATGTTTATGCCTCTGCATTTGGTCAGAAACCATCTCCTTGGCTGCCCTTCACAACAAAATCGCTTGCCTTGGGGATAGTAAAGTGATTAACTGGCATCAGTGAGGACCCCACCCTGTCCCTGGATGTACTTAATCATACTTCCCTCCAGAGAACCCGCCTAAACAAATGTCCCTGAGCACAGGCTAACACCAAAGTGGCACGACTGCACAGTTCTCTGATTTCTTTGCACAGATGAATTTTATTGCGGGTTTTGTCGGTGTGTTGATGTTCATCTCTCTTCCCCTGCCCATCCTCTGTGAAACCATACCTCTCTAGATG